TGGCCCCTTCCTGTGCTGCAGGCCCGTCCTGCCGCCGCCAGCCGGCCCCGGAGCCGCTTTGCCGCACGTCGGCTGCGGTCCAGCCTGGGGAGAGCCCTGACAGAAGAAAGCACAGCTTAAAGCCGCAAGAAGGGCTGGGAATAACTCGTGAGAAAGAAAGGGAGCACAAAAGTAGCGCGAAGCTGGTGGTGGTAGGAAGGAAGAAGCTGCGGAAACAGGCCTGCTCCCAAGTGATGTTTTCTTTCTGCGTTTCCTGTCTGGATGAGCGAGACCAGCCTCATCCCTTCGCCCAGAGGTGTCAACCAGCTGCCTGTGGGTGCCTCTCATGCACACGCGTAGCCCTTACTGCACCCAGCCGAGGTGCCCGGCGTGGGGGACAGGGCTCACGTTTGGGAGTGGGTGGCTCTGCGGCAAGATGCCGTGTGCATGTGGCGCATTCAATACTATCATCACACAAACAGACAGGCCTTGTTTCATGTTCCTGGGGATTTATGTGACTTCTTTGCACTTGGAATATCATTTTAGCGCTAATGAGCTAGCTGTGGTTAATTGTTACCCTACATTATGTCGATTCTATAGCTGTGGCTGCAGGCTATGCCTGCCAGTAAATAATCTGTGGTAACGGAACTTGAAGTCTTTCCTATTGGATATCCTAGGTTTGAGGAATATTCTGATATTCCAGCTCCATATTTGACCAATAGTGGAGCTTAAAGCTTATCCGTAAAAGAGAGACTGTTTATTCTGAAATCTGAAATGTTATGGGACAGGTAAATACCATATGTCAATCTACTCTTTCTCTTCATGCTATCCGTTGTGTCACAGGAAGACTGAGAGACACAGGAAGCAGTTTGTTGACTGTAATTCCCTTGCTTTTGAAGTAATCAGCCTTTTTGATTTTCAGTAAGTCAATATGACTTATTTTTGCAGTCTTGAAGACTGCTGGGACTTAATTCTGTTTAAGGATTTCATCTGGCAGGCACTTTATAATCTGCTACCTGAACTTGAGGCAAACAGTGCACATTTTATTAAAATGTGAGCGAGAAATGCATTCAGGTAGTTGTAGCAGCAAGCTGGGAGTAACCTGGCTTTCTCATTAACCCACCATGTTCATAAATTTTTAATGTGGCCTGGCTTATCTGCGTGCAGAATTAGCCTAATGGAGAACCTCACAGTGTGCTGTAAGTTTCCCTCGCTGTCCAGGAAGGCCTCTGAAATCCTTTGGCCCTCCAAGGCTTGAGCTTGACTGACCTGTTCCTCTCTGTTGCTGTCGATTTGGAATCCTACTGAAACAAAACCACTTGCATTAGAGACCATGGCAGTTGGATTTGCCAGCCCTCGAGACACAACAACAACTTCAAACTGCAGCAGTTAACATCACTTGTGTGTCCTGCCAGCAGCTTCTGTATTGATCTGCAGTAGTCCTTTGCCCAAAGGACATGTGCTTGCATTCCTCTTCCGCACCTCCCCCAGAAGAGTAAAGATGTTTTCAGGAACGGCACCAGCATCTCCTTTCTCTCCATCCAGCAAGTTCACTCGCTGTCCTAACAAAATGTGGCTGTCAGTGATGCCATGTTGATCATTACTGGGTTTATATGCAGTTTTCCTTGGGCAATGAAACAGGTGGCGCCTGGGCAATAAAATGCAAAGCAACAACCAAATCTTCCATGTTGCACTCCCTGTATATTTTTGTATGAGTGCAGTATGAGTACTGTTTGCACTCATGGCCTCAGCGGAAGCATTTGCCATAGTGTGTTACAGGTCATTAACCACTAGGAAATTGCATTTCTTCTTTATGTAATTTTATAATAATATGGTGTATGCTCCTTCACCCAGAAGCTGGAACAGCATGTTTTTGAAGCTGTGATCTTGAAAAATGTTTATGTGAGAATTAAACTTCCTCGTGATCTTTCCAAGTGTGTAGATGTGTAACCTGGAATAACAGTACAGTAACTTGCATTAGAAGTA